CAATCTTCTACAATATCCACGTGTCTATACGATATCTCCAGCCTTAAATCATCCCAAGTGAACACGCGTTCACCCCAGGGTTTTGGTAGGGTTCGTGTTGCTGAATCTTTCTTGTATGTTTTTTATCATTGTTTGTCTATTCGTCGTTTGTTGTTTTGGTCATGGTGTTGTCTGTTTATATAGGTCTGATGATTTTTACCCCCCCCCCCCCCCTTGGCGTCTTATTTTTATTTAAAAATTGCCATGAGGTCAATTTTCTTTCCATTTTGGTGATAATTTCGCTATTTTCAAGGGGACTAGTTCATAAATCATTTGTTATATTATATTATTGTGTTTAATTTGAATTGCAATTTATTTGTGCGGCAAAAAAAAATTATAAAAAAAAAAATAATTACAAGCGTTAAATAAACCAGGCGTAAAACTTGTCATGTTGGTAGTTCTACATTTTCCAATTCGTTAGCCAGCATGACGTAAAAACGGCGAATTAAAGAATTTAAATGTATATATAACTAATATAGGACAATGGTGTTGATTAAAAATTACACCATTCCAGGCCCTTTTGTTTTCGAAAAAAATAATAAGTTCCAGGTCGACGGGTTCAAACAGAAAGATTTTGAAAGCAGAGAAAACCGTGCATCTTATAAACAGCATGACTTTATCAGATGACAATACCAATACTATAAATCCAGGCTAAAAATAATGGCTTATACATAATTAGATATCTTAATTCAGTCACGGACCCGCAATGTCGCGGGTGTGTTCTAGTATATATTATATTTTGGTTGTCTTTAAATTAATATGTGTTATTGTCTTTGCAAAAAAAAAAACATTTATGAAATAAAAAGAGTCTTATCTCGTGATCATATTTTCTTATTAAACAAATCCGCTTAATTTTAAAATACGACAATTATAGTAGTAAGTGTTCAAGACTTGGATAGCATTACAAATAAGTTCGGAATTACCGAATTGAATTGATTTACTTGCGAAATTAGAGATAATCGATTGGATAGTGTGCAATTTCACACGAAAAATAAACGATCTACACTCGAAAAAAATCGATACACACATTGGGCAGTGATACAATGAATCAAAGTAAAAGTTGAATCTTTTTGAAAATGGAATTGGTATGTATGAAATAGAATCAAGGAGAATCTGTCCCTCCTCTTTTTGGTTGCTCTCATTCAGAGTACAGAAATGGATCATGTGCTGTATATTAACCACTTAAAGCACGTTGTCCGTCCGTTTGTTGCCTGGCCAAATTTTCACCAAATTTGATGCATATAATGTGTCGAATAAATTATAGAAAGTCCATATTTCGTTTCAGTCGAAATTCTTGATTATGATCGATAAATATGCAAATGCCCTGTTCTTTAAAAAAACTAATATAAAAGTAAGGAGATGTGGTACGATTTCTTATGAAATATAAGTACATTTCTTATAAAATACTGTAGATTTCTTATGAAATACTGTACATTTCTTATGAAATACTGTACATTTCTTAAGAAATACTGTAAATTTCTTATGAAATACTGCAAAACTAACTTTAGTAATGTTTACAAATAAAATTGAGAATGGAAATGGGGAATGTGTCAAAAAGACAACCAACCAACCAAAGAGCAGAAAACAGCCGAGCCACCAATGGGTCTTCAACACATCGAGAAAATCCCGCACCCGAAGGCGTGCTTCAGCTGGCCCCTAAACAAAAATGTATACTAGTTCAGTGAAAATGGACGTCATACTAAACTCCGAAATACATAAATGAACTAGAATTAAAAAATCATACAAGACAAACAAAGGCCAGAGGCTCCTGACTTGGGACAGGCGCAAAAATGCGGCGGGGTTAAACATGTTTTGTGAGATCTAAACCCTTCCCCTATACCTCTAGCCAATGTAGAAAAACAAACACACAGCAATACGCACAGTAAAACTCAGTTCAAAAGAAGTCCGAGTCCGATTTCAGAATAGGTAACAAAAGAAACTAAGTAAAATGACAATGATGCATAAATTAACAAAGGACTACTAATAGTTACTGACATGCCAGCTCCAGACCTCAATTAAACTGATTGAAAGATTATGTCTTCATCATATGAATATCAAGCACAATCCCTCCCGTTAGGGGTTTAGTATCATACTATCATAAAATATATGAGAAGAACATAACCCGTATCATGCCAACAAATGGTTTTAGAATAAATGTGTTTATTTCCGATGCAAAGACCTTATACCGGTAAGTGAATCAATATTAAAGCCAAAATATGCCATCTTTAATGACCTGACAACAACATACCTATCAATGTTTATTTAATGTACTCGCATATTTTGAGAAAAAATATTAAAAATCTTATAGGGAAACGGAAATAAATACCAATAATTTCTTACTTTAAACTAAAAATTATGCACTTAATTTGGTGCATGGTGTTTGTGTAGTCCATGTAATTTTAAGTATTATCCGTTTCTAAAATAAATATCTAGAATGATACGAATAAGTACGGAGCTCTGTTGGTCTCATACAGATAAAGAGTTGTTGTTTTTTTCAAAATCTAGCACTGGGTATGTAATGTCGACCGCTGTTTATTTAAAGTCAAGCGCTGAAGATGTAAAATCCAGCTCTGGCGATCTAAAGTCGCGCTAGAGATCTAAAATCTAGCGCTGTAGATCTAAAGTTCAGCACTGTAGATATAAACTCCAGCGCTACAAATGTAAAGTCTAGCGCTGTAGATATATTAAATGACACAAAAATATGACTTGCCGAGTTTAGTCTCTTGATTTACAACAAAGTGTGATTGATTGATTGATTGTTGCTTGCTTAACTTCTAGTAGTAAATGTTGCATGCATCATAAGGACGAGCATGTACACATAACAATTAATATAATAGATAAGATCTGTAAGACGGGAAATAAGGACTGCCACTGGAAAATAAGGTTATGTTGTATAGGGGCTATACAGAAATAAGAAGATGTGGTATGAGTGCCAATGAGACAACTCTCCATCCAAGTCACAATGTGTAAAAAGTAAACAATAATAAGTCAAAGTACGGCCTTCAACACGGAGCCTTGGCTTACCCCGAACATACTAAACGTGTTAACAGGCGCCAACCTTCACCCTAACCCTGAAATAGTAGTGTAACATTACAACATAGAAAGACACACTATAAAATATCAATTGAAATGGCTTAACTCAATCAAAAAGACATATTAACAAAAACAAGTAAACATACACTGAACGAATAAATTTGATCTATGACACAATGTCAAAAAGACAACTATAACTTTGGACAAAATGGCGTTAAATAAAATAACGTACACAGGTAAATTTAAATTATATTATAATTTTGTTGTTAGGAGTACGGAGATATTGTTTATAAAATAAATAAATTCGTTGTTCATAGTACGAGAACAGCAGTGAAAATTTATCGTCATAAATACTTATCAAAGGTGGTACATATCAAAAATAGTGAGACGAGATATAACACAAAATAAGTAAACATTGAACAACAAAAATGCATTACAAATTGTGTAACAGGTCAAATTAACACGAAAGTACGATTTGAGAGTACTCGCAGTTACTGAAAAGTAGTTAAAAGCCAAAAAACAATTAATAATAAAAAATCATGCATCAGAGACTAAAATCAACTAAAACACATCCCAGGGATTTAGTGTTTTAACGCCATGGACAGTCAAAGAAGACATGACTAGTGCAATGCCAAAATAAAAGAAACGACAGGCAGTAGGATAGTTTGGATGTAACCTTATAATAAATATGTATAATGTTATCTATCGATAAAGCAATCTCTATATAGAAAATGAACGTGGATGTGTATTTATACACATTCGAAAAGAATACAAATTAAGTTATGTTTTAATTTGTTGATGACAAAATCGATATTTGTGCCAATGTAAACAATATTCAAAGATATTATTACAACATTAATAAGATAACCTTTACTAATAAGTTTGTTTTAAGGTTCGATCACATAGTGATTTCCGGGCTTTTAGTACAATACTACCGTAAAATTTAGGATGTAAAATACCGTTCTTAATAATTTTTCTACAGGTACAGCCAAATTTGCTAATCAAATCTTTGTATCTATGAAAGAATTTAGTAAAAGTTTTAAGTAATTTATGGTAACGAAATCCCTGACTTAATAATTTACCAGTGATGCATTGATTACGTTCGTTAAAATCTATGACATCACTACTCACACGGGCATAACGAACGAGTTAGGATATATAAACACCGTATGATAGAGCCAAAGGAACATCGCCGTCTTAAAAAGGAAAATTAATAATAGGGAATGAAAAATCTTCTCTTTTGTCGTTAATTTTAGTATGGAGTTTCCCTTTGGAAATTGAAATGTCTAAATCTAGAAAAGGACTATATGTCTACTATCATAGACATTTTCGTCAGCGTAAATTTTATACAGCAATGCCATGGTGTTGTTAAATTTGTTCAGAATTATGACTCAGAAAAAATGCAAGAATCTTATCAGTTTTGGTTCAAGCTATAATGGATGAGCAGTGTTTATAAACCCCCAGAAGAAAATGACTAAACGTTTTTTTTAAGTTTTAAAGGAAAAATATTATTTTGAAGGAATCAAATAACTTTGTTTATATTTTTGGTTTAAATAGAAGTAATGCCAAGAAATATCAGTTTGCTCAAGGCAAATCTAGTGCAAACTTACTGTGCATTGTAACACTATTGATGTATCTCACATCTGTCGGAAGGCCATATGGATGTCATGGATTTAAAAACAAATGTCTTTCCTTGTTTATTTTATAATCAATAATTCTGTCAAGGTATTTCTATGATGTCATAAAATTGGATAATCACTTCCGCTGATAAACTTCGACTATCTTTTTTCAATAGTCCTTCCCTAATGACCCGATTAAAAAAGTTGTACACAGATATTTTGTGGTGCTCCAATTAGTGTAGGAATTTACTGACAAGAAAGAAAAAAAAGAAAGATGTACATGTTTTAGCCCTTCCGGAAGTATACACTTATAAGGAAGGGCACATAACTTCCTAATGCTCGGAAAATTTGAGAATGAAGCGAGTTCGTCACGAACAAATAGGTGGAATAGTTCAACATTATTTGAAAAGGAGACAGTATTTGGTAATATGAATTACTTTATGACTGTTCAAAATAATGTAAAAGACAAATAAAATCTCATTGTACATGTAAACATTTACTGGAAGGATAACAGTCCTCAACCGGCATAATTTTCAGGCATGTCACACTAACAGTTTCTCCCCAGAAGAATTTTACACTGTGGTCCAAAAGACTTAATTTCGCCGTGACAGCATAAGGTCAATTTACACACAGGATATAGTATTCCGTTCCATCCTGGATTCAACCCTGTGACCCCTTGCACAGTAAGCCACCACTCTATTGACATAAAGAAGTACTCCACTAGCACAGTTAATGAAGGGTGAGAAGGGGAAGCACTACTACACCTCCCCCACCTCAAGAGTCACTATACTATAGGCTGTGGCAAAATAGCCTCTAAGATTTTACTGGCTTTGCCTTTGGAAAAATAGCTTCATTAGTGCTATTTTGTCAGCTCAGGCAAAATAGGGATTTATGTAAAGTTTTGCTTCTTTGCCGGTCTTACTTCAGATTTTTTTCAGAATACATGAAATAAATATTTATTGGAAATTATTTATATGCACAAATGACACATGAATGATATGTATAGCTAGATGTCCATAACAATAAAGACTGCCCTGAACAGTATCCTCGTCAAACGGGTTTTCATGCTATTAAGAATACATTGTGACGTTACAATTTCCATTGAAAAAGCATGCATAGTACAAATTCATATGACGTATGAAAACATATGATCTGACCATATATGTAATATTCTTCCATTACTAGCTATGTTTTTATTGTATTTGTATTTAATTAAGGAAATAGTCAAAGGTTGGAAAAAATAAAATATGGATTGTCTAAAATTGAATTTAACAAATAATGTGTACTTGTCTACTTTGGAGATACATGAACATGTAGTGTTAAATTCCTATTTATATATTTAGAATGAGGATGTATTTGTTTTTTCTCTTCAGGCACCAGAACAACAAACTAGAAAAGAAACAAAATTGACACAAAATGTGGATGACATGGCCTTCAAGAATTTACTGAAAAGTGAATCCTCATCAGAAAATATGTTATCTCTTAGTAGTCCTTCAGGGGAAGCAAATCATTCTGAACATCAGTTTAACAGGTTTATGTATTGATGTTTTATTTTAGACAAAAAAGTAATACATATATTTCTGCTGTGTTAACAGAAAACTGATAAAACTAGTTATGCACTTTATTTTTATAATTTTTGTATAGATTTTTCTACAGGTTTCTTCAGGGAAACATTCAAAAAAAGCATGTTCCTAAAACATTAATATTACTTAAATATAAGCACTCCAAGTAAAGGAGATGTGGTACATTGTATGATAGCCAATGAGACAACTATCCACCAGTGACCAAAGGTCAAAAGTCATTGTGTCTGCTTGACAATTTACAAACAACTGACTTTATTCTTATGTGCATAATCCAACCCGGTCTAAAGAAATATATTGATTTTATCATTTGACACATTTATCTTAGCTGTCATAAGGAAAACCATCCCCATTTATAGAATATTCATCATTTTGCTCAACGTACTGACATAGATTTTATGCCCAACAAATGACATTACCTAAAACCAAAGTTTGACAAAAAGATAACGATTGAAATCAAGCATATTGTAAGCACATAAATCACAATTGTGCAAATAGCAACGACCATTTGATACAAATTAAGTTCATGTTGGTTTGCTTTATATTGTAACACATTTATATTTATGAATCTTTTATTTGTTATTACTTAAAGTACATTAGAACTTAAATTGAATATCTGTGAAATTGTTCAAGTTTAAAACATATGAATGAGAGCTACATTATTGATAAAAGTTCAAAAATTTATTACAGTTGAAAAATGTATTATATGACAAATTCACAATGCAATAAATATTTAATGTTTCAGATTTAGAAAGTATATCAATGATTCCCCTGAGCCATACAGACAAGATTTACAGCAAATTTTACTTCCTGTTTTTGTGCAGCTATATTTAGAGCTTTTGTTTAATAATCACAAAGTACAAGGTAACAGCCATTGAAAAAAAATTGTGCATTAAATATTTGACATTTTTCTGATGAATTAGAGGGTGAATCAATCAAATACAATACAAATCAATAATGATTTATTAACATCTTACCAATGTCCATTAACAATACAATACACATTTCACATTGTAAAAAATCACTTTTAAAATTGTTAATGCCATTCTAAAAAGAATTATGAGAGACAGATTTAAAAAAAGAATTAGCATATTAACTCATTCTTCAAAAGCTATTTTATTAAATATGTACATGCACCAATTATTTTTTAAATAGATCAATGTCCTATGAAGGCAGAAATTTTAAATTTAAGTGAATTAAATTTTATATGTTTGAAGAGGACTGCTTGGTAAGTGTTGGTATGTTCTTATATGAATTTATAGGTATACATTTATGTATGTTTCAGCAAACAAGTTTTACAGTAGGCATACCAAGCTATTTGATCATAATGTGAAAAACAAAGCAACAGTAGAGCAGATCTATAAACTAAGTACAAGGGCTGATATGTTATCATGTAAAGAAGTGACAGACTGGAGGTAATCATTTTTTTTCCAGAATAAACAGCAATTTAGAGCATAATTTGTTTTTATACGACCGCAAAAAAATTTTTGTGGTCGTATATTGGTATGACGTTGGCGTCGTCGTTGTCCGGCGTCGTCGTCCGAAGACGCATTAGTTTTCGCACTCTAACTTTAGTTTAAGTGAATGGATCTCTATGAAACTTTACCATAAGGTTCAATACAACAAAAGGAAGGTGGGGATTGATTTTGGGGGTTATGGTACCAACAGTTAAGGAATTAGGGGCCAGAAAGGGGCCAAAAATAAGCATTTTCTAGTTTCCAGACAATAACTGTGGAAAGATGTATGGATCTCTCTGAAATTATACTACAAGTTTCCATACCACAAAGGGATGGTTAGGATTTGCTTTGGGGGGTTATGGCTCAAACAGTTTAAGAATTATGGGCAAAAAAGGGGGAAAAACAAGGTTGTCCTGGTTAATGGACAAATACTTTAGTACAAAACATAATTTAAAGCAGTGTAAGGGAGATAAATCAAATACATCATTGAAATTATCTCCCTTACACTGCTTTTAAATTATGTATAAAGTAATGGTTAATGAACAATTAAGATAATTTAAAACAGTGTAAGGGAGGTAATCCAAATACAACGTTTTGGTTACTTCCCTTACACTGCTTTTAAATTGTGTTTAAAGAAATGCATATTTATAAAGGAAGACCAGTAAAAATATCTGCAAATGTTGCATCTTTTTTTTTTACAACAAAATCCATATGAAAGATTTGACACTATATTTTAAATTATATTATAAAATAGATTAAGTTAGCACTATGGTAAATTTAAATGGGTAATTATGGTTGCAAACTCCATTGGAAATTTGAATTGAGATTATGACCATATCTTGAGGGAAAGAATTTTTTGGGGAAAAGAAGGGGGGGGGGGTTTAAAGAAATTGTGGGGGGTCAATTTTTTCTCATTTCAGATTTCAGAAATTAAAAAGAATTATTCTTCAAATATTATTTTTTTTTCAAATTTCAAATATTGAAAAATTTCAAGAAGTAATCTTTAATTGGACAGTATGGCGCATTAGATTTGTAAAATCTTTGACCACATTTATTTATTTGTTATGCCGAATCTAACCGTGTATTTAGATTTTTAATTTTGGGTCCAGTTTTCAAATTGGTCTACATTAAGGTCCAAAGGGTCCAAAATTAAACTTTGTTTGATTTTAACAAAAATTGAATATATGGGGTTCTTTGATATGCTGAATCTAAACATGTATTTAGATTTTTGATTTTTGGCCCAGTTTTCAAGTTGGTCCAAATTGGGGTCCAAAATTAAACTTTGTTTGATTTCAACAATAATTGAATATATGGGGTTCTTTGATATGCTGAATCTAACCATGTATTTAGATTTTTTATTTGTGGCCCAGTTTTCAAGTTGGTCCAAATTGGGGTCCAAAATTAAACTTTGTTTGATTTCAACAAAAATTGAATATATGGGGTTCTTTGATATGCTGAATCTAACCATGTATTTAGATTTTTTATTTGTGGACCCCGCTATCAAATTGGTTCATATTGAGGTCAAAAGGGTCCAAAATTAAACTTTGTTTGATTTCAACAAAAATTGAATATATGGGGTTCTTTCATATGCTGAATCTAACCATGTATTTAGATTTTTGATTTTTGGGCCCCGTTATCAACTTTGTCCACATTGAGGTCAAAAGGGTCCAAAATTAAACTTAGTTTGATTTTAACAAAAATTGAATTCTTGGGGTTCTTTGATATGCTGAATCTAAACATGTGTTTAGATTTTTGATAATGGGCCCAGTTTTCAAGTTGGTCCAAGTTGGGGTCCAAAATTAAACTTTGTTTGATTTCAACAAAAATTGAAAATATGGGGTTCTTTGATATGCTGAATCTAAACATGTATTTAGATTTTAGATTTTTGGCCCAGTTTTCAAGTTGGTCCAAATGGGGGTCCAAAATTAAACTTTGTTTGATTTCAACAAAAATTGAATATATGGGGTTCTTTGATATGCTGAATCTTACCATGTATTTAAATTTTTTATTTGTGGGCCCGCTATCAAATTGGTTCATATTGAGTTCAAAAGGGTCCAAAATTAAACTTTGTTTGATTTCATCAAAAATTGAATTATTGGGGTTCTTTGATATGCCAAATCTAACCGTGTTTTTAGATTTTTAATTTTGGGTCCCATTTTTAAATTGGTCTACATTAAGGTCCAAAGGGTCCAAAATTAAACTTAGTTTGATTTTAACAAAAATTGAATTCTTGGGGTACTTTGATATGCTGAATCTAAACATGTGTTTAGATTTTTGATTATGGGACCAGTTTTCAAGTTTGTCCAAGTTGGGGTCCAAAATTAAACTTTGTTTGATTTCAACAAAAATTGAATATATGGGGTTCTTTGATATGCTGAATCTAACCATGTATTTTGATTTTGGACATTGGACCATAATAGGTAAATTAAAAAAATTGAAGTTCTTAGACCACATTCTCTCTGTGTCAGAAACCTATGCTGTGTCAAATATTTAATCACAATCCAAATTCAGAGCTGTATCAAGCTTGAATGTTGTGTCCATACTTGCCCCAACTGTTCAGGGTTCGACCTCTGCAGTCGTATCAAGCTGCGCCCAGCGAAGCATTTTATTAATTTACTGAATAAAAGATTGACTGTATTGGTAAATGGATGCTGGATGTTCAATGGCAAATATTACATGCATAAAAAATTGCATGGGGTCATCTTGAAAATGCAGTAAGTGTGAGCTTTTGCTTCATGTTCATAGCTTCACTGTGGTTTTGATATGAAAACCAGAAATAAAATTACTTTTCTGTACTTTGTTTATATTGTACTTGAAAGGATTTAAAATGTGTATAATATATATATAAGTACGTCTGAACCAGTGACAACTCTACAACAGATTTATCCATCGGATCACCAGCAGTGATGGTGATACATGGCTGTGTACATATATATATATATTTTCATAAACAATACTGAAACTGACCGTGTGGGACCCTCATGGGTTGTCAAGGTCATTAAACTCCCCTGTAGTAGTAACAACACTGCACATGTGTATTAAACACAAAATATCTTGTAGTCTTTGCAGAGGATTACGAACCCTGTGAAGAAAAAAAATATGTGATTTAGCTATGGTACAGTGGTGATAATTAAAAAAGAAATCTACTATTGTTGACCATTCAGCAGTTTTAACCTACTGTAACCTTGAAAGATCAAGAACATCATATCACCACTGCTACATTATATAAATAATTTTGTTTCAGATTTTTAGAAAATGATGCAGTCAATTTTCTTTTACCATTGACCAGACTTCCAACCTGCATTCCGAACTCGGTTTCGTATTTTACATACTTAAAGTGAATGTTAGTATGCTCATACATTGGTAAAAGAAAGACAACTTCAGCGTTGCAAATGTACATTTTAAAATAACAGATGGTGTTGTCTCCCTTCAATATGTCTTGTTGTGTACAAAATGGCGGTCATTAACCTTCGTGACCGTCGGACAATTTTCAATCCTATTGTTCGAAATACAACTGGAACAGAATTAAATTTGTAATTTTCATTCTTTAATTTCTTAACCTGTCAGCATACCTGCCAACTTGCACGATTCAGGCATGAAATACTCGATTTTGACCCTTGTCACGATTGCACGATTGTGATCGTGTAAAAACCTCTAAACCACGATTTTGTTAAATCCTACTGTTCCCAAATTTTTCCCAAGGGAGACAACTGTGATCAGCCAATCAAAATCGTTGTTTCTCCTGATCTTTGGGTATTGAAAACTGCAAATGTGCTAAATTTTGAACTTGTTAGGAACTCAGAATATTGTAGAAATCGTGATCATGGCAGACCAATTTTCAATTACAAGAAGGTTCTTACACAGCTTAAGAAGTAAATCATGACTGATTGACAAAGTTCAAAGATACAGTTCAACCATAAACATAATAAACTGTAGCTAATGGACAAATTTTACACTTATGGTAACAGATCATACATGTTGTCATTCTTGAAATTAAATTAACAAATCAATTAAATTACAATGTTCTATCTTTTAATTTTCATAAGGAATCAGATATATTTCCTTCTTTGTGCATATTTTTATATTTGAAAAGTCAACAATCACTTTAATATTCCTTTGACCAATAATCTGATAATCCACCTTTAAGGTTCATCTAATATACACCAACAAAAATGGCTGTGTTTACCCCATGAAATTTTCTCTGAATGCAGACAAAACTGTGTAATTCTAATAGTTTTAAATCCTGGCAGCACCTGGCCACAACTCCTCTTTTTCCTGTGGTACCTGAAAACAATAAACCGGTTTGGTACATTGTTGAGGTCTGAAAGTGACTTATAACTGCCAACAGCCACATTATTTGGACTCTGGTAGATAGTACATCAGACTGTTATCTCATTGGCAATCACACCCCATCTCCTTATTTTGTTACGCGTCAATTATTTGAAATAAATGACTACGGTACTAAACATTAAAACATTTGAAAAAAAATAATTTTGCAATAATTTATGTTGTCATTTTAAGATTTCAGTGTAAGCTTGCTTACTACAGGCTCTTCACAATGAAATTAAGTTGTATAAATGGTGTCACTTTGTTTGTAATTGTGAAACTAGTATAACAATACTATTGTCTAAATCTACAGAAATTGATCATGTTTAGGTAACTGAAATAACAATGTGATTACGTCACTAGGTCACCTGTAACTTATCTCTTGAATAAGGACTATGTTGGGTATAAGAGCTTTCTTACTACAGCCTCTTCATAATCATTTTGTTAAATAATTCTACAAATAAGGGAAACAAATTCACATATTACTTTGAATATTGTAGATTGTTCAGGTAGTCTTGAGCTATTTCTTTGTACAGCAGAACAACTAGTAGTTATTTTCACTTCACACACATATATATATATCTTGACAAACAAATAAAAACGTTATAGTTTGTGGAAACAATTCATATCTATTCTATCAGTTACCCTACCTACCATAAACTGAACGTCGCCTAAGATTCAGTAGGTAAATTAAGTAAAAATCAAGACTTGCATCAAAAATATCCCAATATGAGAGACAATCGCGTCATTTTTACTTAGAGCTTTCAGCTCTTTGATTTTAATTTTTTTTGGTATAATGATACACTGTATTTTAATAATTATTGGTTTCTGTTTTTTTTTTATCAAGCTATCTACTGGTAGATAGAATAACATAAAAATATTTGATTTTATACAGGATAATGCTAACACACTGATTGTTTCTATTGACATTTGCGAATTTAAGATAAAAGCTCTACAATAAGAATTTGAAATTTTGCTACGATGCTCAGTGTGTATTTGGTGTGAAACAAGATGGAGCATGATAATGTTTATCTTGCAATCAACCTTTCAAATACAGGTGTACAGATTACATGAAGGGATATATTTATAGTATACATACAAGTCTAAATTGAAAAAAAACGTTCAAACCTATGATTGCATTGGATAAAAACCGCAATTTTTATACGTGTGCATGCAAAACAAATTTCTTGTTAGAGGGGTCTAAATACAGCACAAACAACATTTTCCAAAAGACCAAAAAAGTGAAAAAGTATATTTTAACAAAACGCATTTGACTAACAGGTCGAACAACAAATGTTCTTAAATCCTGCTGACTGCCATTGGCGATTGAAAAAATAAATGGATCACAAGGTGTAATAAATGGATCTTAACTATAAATTTAATACCAAACAGAAAACAATAAACTTGCGGCAAAGATGGTATACCACAAACAAAGGTGCAAATATTTTTTGTACACCATATCCGGATTTCTACAATTAATGTCTCTTCAGTATATATAGTATACATATATAGTCTCCTGGTATCCTGCTTATGTTGCGAGCAAACAGTTATATTTAAATTACTGTTAATGTCACAGTTTAATTTGGGTTGTTCATCACAGTCCTGGATTTAAGTCATGTTAATTTCATTCTTTCTTTTACTAAAGCTCTAAATTTGATATTTTTCTACAATGTACGAATATTCTATATATTTAGGTAGTTGAATTCCTCGTCTTTGATAGTCATTGAATAACTTTATTACACAACCAAATGCTATACATACTAAAAATAAACTATGGATTTTACACTACAAAAATAAAAATGATTCTGCTTAAACTTTTAATGCAGATTATCAAATATAGTCTCTTTTCATGCAGATTACTTCTAGCAGACATTTTGTTGAATGCATAATAAATATGACCAATCAGAATAATCTTGTGTTTTACAGGGACAATAAATACCAAATTAAGATGAGTGAAGAAGCTCTAGATTATATTAGAAGATATATTAAGGTAAACTTAATGTTTAATGGATGAATTGTAGTTGAAGTGGGTAAATTTTTCCTAAATATATTGTTTTACCTAAACAACAACAACTTTTGCTTAGCCTTTCATCACCAAATGAAAATTTATGCGCCATTGTTATTTTTCCCACAAAAGACATGAAGTGAAAAGTATACAAAAATGTGTAATGTGTTTTTTATGGATGTTTGCTTGTCTAATTTTCAAATCTTTGCCTAATATTTTGTCTCTTTTTGTCTCCTTGTTATCTGGGCATTGAAGAAAAAAATCTCAGGATTACAATTATACATTTATGTCAAAATATGCACCTTAAATACACTTCTGACAAAATCTTTTTGAATTCTTTTCAAAACACATCAATATGAATAGTATTGTTCCCTCGAGGTCTATTTACAGCTCATAATCGATACACTTATACATAGTTCTGTATCTTGAACAGATGATTTACTTATATATTACATTGCCAACAGGGACCTAGGTGGCCAAGTGATCTAAGTAGTTGAACAACTGTATCACTAGCCTGTCAACATTGAATTTGGGAGTGTGAACTCTGCATGGGGCAGATGCACTAGACTCTAATTATAATAGACAAGAATTGTCAGTCTTTCTGCCGAAGGAAGGTGGTTCTCTTGGGCACTCTGGCTTCCTTCCACAAAATAAAAACTGACTCCCACGAAGTAGCCAATAGTGTTGAAACTGTGTTAAACATCAATCAGTTAAACAATAAATACATTGCCAAGAAGGACTACAGAATCTAAGGCATCTCTGTATAAAATGTAGATATATTATTTTTCAGCAAGAAGAAAACACAATGATTGTACAAGTATTTAACAAATATGTTAAGGTAGAGGGTATGTATGTTTATAAATATATTTTGTGATTTACTTTATCATTTGATACCTACTTCTCGAATGAGTTCATGGTTTCCAGAACACAGTTATAGGTTGCACTTTGTAAATACAGCTGTTTCACAAACCACGCCTCTTTTGGGGAGATATATGATATTCATAGATATTTTGTTTTGTTTACCTACTGGTTCCCGGATATGATCTTTATGTTTCATCTCGTAGAGACATAACTTGGGAATGTTACCAGTATAAATACACATGGATAGCGGCTAAATTGAAATTTGAGGAAGACCCAAAGTGAAGAGAGGGGTAGTACAGAATTTAAGTACAAGTTTAAACTCTTAGAAGTTCGAGGCATATAAATGTTGAAAATAGGCCGCACAGCCCTATATTTTGACCGTTGAAAAAAAAGTAGTGCATTCTAGGATATAATTTTTTACGAAACTTCATAATAAAAGTGGCACAGTTTTAGCCGTAAAAGGAGTTCCTATGGGAAATTGCATTGTCTATATTTACAGAAGTTCAACCTACAGTAAATACAAGTTGATTCACTCTAGGTGATGTTGATTGAATCACTGTTGAACAGTTACGATTGTTATTGCCGTGTATGATAACAGTAATTTAAACCCGTCATATAATTTATTTGTTGAATTTATAAAAAGATTTCAGTAAATCACCAGCAGTCACTAGTTTAAAGTAGTTTAATTGTTAAAAAACCATCAAAAGTTAATTCAGTCAAAAAAGATTATGTGTACAGCAGTTGTGTCTGTCCAAATAAAAAGAAATATCCCCACAAAAATAATTATGCTTGTCCAGAAAGAAGAAATGTCATAGCTAAGAATAACTGTTCAATGAAGTTCAATTCTTCACTTGTTCTGTTTTACTGATGGGTTTTAACATTGCTTTCAGTTGAATCATACAATTGCATGGTTGTGTATTCCATCGGTTGATCAGTTTTAACACACTCGGTAAATACCCCACCTTAAACAAATACAAAGTTACTGCAAAATAACTCGTATATTAAAAGGTCACGAAAGCAATTAATTGAATGAGGATAATTTTTTATGTTTCATTGGTTAACCAAGTGATCAATGCAAATCCCTGCTTACAAGGTTTTAGTCTCTATAACATATTGCTTGAAATACATGTTTTTTAAATTTTCCTTACAGTTGCTGAACTTGAATGTAAAAATCAACAGTTGGAGTTAAAAGAAAGTAAACAAATTACAAATGGGGAAGTATTAGATCAACAGTCCTCATCCGAATCTATGAAATTGTTAAAACAGGCCATAAAAAGTGTACGGGAAGGACAACCATCTGTATCATCTATATGTTTTTATACATATATAAATGCATATCATGGGTAAGAGGATACTGTCTAGAATATATGTTTAATAGTCATCAAAATCATACAAATCTCACTATTATCACAAAAAATCTTAATAGGAAAAAAAATACTGGTAGTCATGAAAATTTTAATATTTTTTCAGTCTATTTTCGGATTTCATGTGTGGCTTTGAGCGTTCCTGATGAAGGTAAATCCAGAAAAGCGCTTCGGATGTATGAAATTATTAAATGTGTTGTTTTCAATTATTTACATCACTGGGTCGATACCTCTGCTGGTGGACTATCAGTCCCCGAGGGTATCATCAGCTCAGTAGTCAGTACTTTGGTACTGACATGGTTTATAACAAACTTTTCTAAAATTGACCGTTTATAAATTTTGAAATTATAAAGAAACTAAGGTTTCAACTCCCTCAGGCAAAGTTGACCTTAGATGGATTTGGCTATTTGTTTTAGGTATTTTTGTGATATAGCTCTTCAACTGTTTCGGTACTTATACATCCCTCGGATTTCAAATGTTTTGCTTTGAGCGTTCCTGATGAAGGTAAATCCAGAAAAGCGCTTCGGACCAATGAAATTATTAAACGTGTTGTTTTCAATTATTAGTCGTTTAAAAAAAAACCAATATACATGTATGCTAACAGAAATTAGTATACATGTATGTAAACAAAAAAATGTATATACTACAGATGTACAAAATTTTTCAATCAACTATTGAAAATAATATGTCTAATGAATATAATGAATACCCTAAGCTTTGTTTATGTTTCATTGTTATTTATAAACATATTTTTGTTAGATTAAATACCGTAACGTTGTATATTTTTGCAGGGTTTAAGATTTGGGTATTCAAATGCCAAATCAGTTTGCTAGGTTTTATTTTCGTGTTTTTCTGTCCTTGATTTTGACCTTACATGAAGATCAGATGAAGGCAAGCGTAAATTTCTCATTTTCATGATAACTGAGATTACCAATAATTTTCAATTTTACAGTGACAGTGATATTTTTGTGATTATTTGTAGACTCTGTAGCGTAGATATATCATCAGACCAGGGTATGATTAGTGCTGGATTTGAGGACTCTTCTATCAAAATATGGAGAGTATCTCCAGGCTCTCTACAAACCAAAGAAACTGACACAGATCCATCCAAACTATTCCTGGCAGCTGATTACTGGAATGTAGAATCGGATGAAAGGTTAGGTGTTACTATTGATAGCAATAAAAAAGTATTATTTCAATATTTGTTGCGTGATTCAATATTGTGTTTTAAATGCATGAATGTCTTGTGTGTGTTGTATGAAATGTGTCTTATAAATCTAATACACAATGCTTATTACCACAAAACACAGATCAAATTTGAATTTTGGTGGCGTCACTTTTACCGTTCTAGAGTTATGCCCCTTTACAAATGGAAAAATTGCTGAATTTTTTGTTTCGGTTTTCTTACTTAAGTTTGCTTCAACCAAATGTTATGAAACTTATACAAAATGCTTTATACCACAAAACTCAGATTAAGTACCAATTCAGGTAGCATCACTTTTACCGTTCTTAAGTTATGTACCTTTATAAAGTTATATGCAAGTGGGGGCATCATCTTTGTCCCATTGACACATTCTCCATTTATTTCACAATAGTTTGATCAGTATCTATTTTTCTTTCAGCTCACCAAAATATGAAGAAACTGTAACTTTAAAGGCACACAATGGTTCGGTGTATAAAACCTATTTCTTCAATCAGCTGCCATATTTGTTATCTGGATCAGAAGATGGGTCAGGTCAGTCTTTGAAAAATTAACATCCTGTTATTAAAGTATACTAGGATGTAGAATGCTTCAAAAATCAACAAAATTATTGATTTTGATCACCAAATTCACCTTATTAATGTGTTAATTTATCAACAAAGAATACACATATACATACCAAAATCATTTCATAGAATACTGCAAAAAATCTCATTTTGATTAATTATGGGGTAGTGTCATAAAGTACGTTTAAGTGAATCATGTTATAGCAAACATTGAATTTCCTCACAAAACTTATTTACTCACTATAGCATTATTTATGTATTTTGTAGTCAGACTATGGGATTTAGATGGTTTTACTAACAAAGTGTGTTACAAAGGCCATAATTATCCAGTATGGGATATAGACATCAGGTATGGACTTCTGTTTAAGAGTTAATTTTTAATCCCCTCACACTCATTCACCAGGGCAATTAGTGTTACCAATGTCAGTCATTCCTAAAACGAAAAGTTGTCAGGAATTTTTTGTTACACTGTACCTTATTCCGTTCACTATTCTGCAGACAAGAGCATTTGTGTCATCCCAACATACACACTTTTAGTTTTCTAAAATTTGTATTTTTGCCTTCTTTGCCATTCCTACAAAAGCATGAGTGTATACATTGTTTGTAGAACCATTGAAAAAAATCTGTTAATAACAGGATAACTATTGTAGCATTGTAAAACTAAGGAGGTAAATACCCGCATACTACTTTTTATTACAGTAGACTCCACCTAATCGGATATCGGCTAAACGAATATATCGGCTATTGTAATATAATTTCAAAACACAGAAAATGGACCCAGAAGTTACGAATTTACAATCTTGCAGACAAGAAGATTTTGTTTTTACTAAATAAAAGGAACTATTTCTTAATAAATTGTTGTCTTTAATCATTGTCTTCCTTTGTCATGTGAATTAGATGCCCTTTTACTTCAAATGGTTTGAATTTATTTATAAAATATGCAAGACTCAGTTGACAAGTTGACGTTGCTGTTTGGAGAATTTGGATTAAACTCTAAATGTTCACAGAATCAAAAATATAATCTAAACTGAATGTACCTCCTTCTGAATAATTTATTGCAATATAAATATAAATCCCTTTTGACAAGAGAAATCTGAATTTTGTCAGATATATTTTTTTCACATGTGCAAAAGTAACCACATGTCATGGACGCCATTTTGGATGTTTACAAATTTGTGAGGAAGCCTCTAGAACTATGACCTAAATATAAATAGTCTTCAGAAAACGTAAACTTTATGCAATAATATTTTATCAGTCATGATTATTTTCATAAATTTAAATTTGATTATTGAAAGAAATAAAATTATAACAAATACGATTTTAGTTTGGAGATTCTACACAGGCATGCTTAGATCTATTTATAGCCAAATTAGTTTACCTGTGTGATATAAATGTAAATAATAGATATTAATTTGCTTACAAAACAAATAAATACAAACTATGGATGGTAGATAATAATTCACATAAATATTTCAGGACATTTGATTTATTTTAATAAATAAAGGATTTAAAAACTGCAAACAAATTTAATCATTACATAATCAGCTGATAATTTTTTACACAAACATCATGGTGATGTAACTGATAAAAATCACTCCATCAATCCTCCAGCCCTTTCACATATTCAGCAATTTTCAGGGTTAGTAACATCTCAGGATTATATCTACTCATTATTGCAGAATATTCAATGAATAAACATTCATCGTCTAATTGAATATATCGGGTAATCGGATATTTTTAGCTGACATTTTGGGTATCCGATTTGCCGGAGTCTACTGTACAATTAAAACACTCACAAAAATTAGATACTTTGAGAAATTGGAAAGTTTGTTATATGAAGAAAATATAAGCTAATTGGTATTAATCAAAAAATAAACTATTTCTTGCAGGAAGGTAGTTTCCAAAACAAATGCAATTTCCTCCCATTGAACTGAAACATCTGCTGTTATGGAATGTTAACCACTGTACATACAGTTTGTTTGATGATAGACTTGAATGAATGAATAAAATGTTATCTTTGTTTTTGATTGAAATGCACATTTTTCTCAATGAAAACAAGTACTAGTAATAATATTAAAACTTTAATGAAATCTTACAAATTTAATTTTGTAATTTACAGAAATTAATGATTTTCTTCTGTTACAGTAATAGTAGTGACTACTTCACAAGTTGTTCCCAAGATAGAACAGCCAAGCTGTGGACAACAGACAGGATATATCCTCTAAGGTCATTTGTAGGTCATACAGCAGACATAGATGTAAGCTTATGTTTTTTTATTATAAAAGTTTTACATATGTAAATTTTTGCAAATATAATTTGACCAAGTATGCTTGTTTGTATATTGTCATTTTAATAAATGATTTTAAAGCACGCTTGGTTGTTTAATAGAATTTTATCAAATGACTTTAAAGCACTACATGTTGGATTGATAAAAGATGATGATAGATATACTATGCCTATGTCCTTTATTTCATAAGGGGAGGTAAACGTTTGCTTAAGAGAAACACTTAGATTTTTGTATTAATTTGATAATGGCAGAAGTTGCATATAAAATGGTATTCTGCATTCTTAAAAAAAAATTGTACTTCAAGACTAAATATTAATCAATCAATTTAAAGCCTACAGAAAAGTGTTCAGTATCCTGTATCCTTTAAGTAGAGACTGGAATGTTATCAATATGGTTTAGAAAACTTCTGTAAAATTTATCTAATTTTAACTGATCAGATTTAGTTTACTAATTTGCATAATGTATCGACATTAAAGACAACAACACTCATAAATTATCGCAAAATTATAGTTTTAATGGTCGACATGTTTCGTCATCAAGCATGGCGTCTTCAAGACAAGTATACATATGAAATAAAACATTGTAGTACAAATTTTGCGGTAAAACTGGAAGTAATCTTACAATTATTGTTGTTATGACGACGCTATCAATAAAAATGGAAAGTGAAAGTGAAATAAGAGTAGTTATGTTAAATGATATGCATAATGGTAAAAATTGCACATATAGATCTAGAGATTTAGAATGATAATTATACCCCTCTCTGAAAGAAAGGGATATAATTGTTTAAATCTTTTGGTCCGTTGGTCAGTCCCATGAAAATTTTGTCACACTTTTCTCAGAAACTAAAAAATCAGAGCTTCCTGAAATTTGGTATCTATCTTCATGTAAGCATGCTTTACTGTGTGATGCATTTTTAGATTCATCATTCATCCACTCCCTGTTAACAGAATACTTATATATTCTTGCACATAATGGCCATGTATCAAATTTTCGTTGCATTTTTCTCCGGAACTACAAATCAGTGCTTTCTTAAATTTGGAATCAACCTTTATGTGAGCATGCTATACTGTATAATGCTTTTTACATTCATCACTTGTCAACTTCTTGTTTAATGAGTACTTATAGAGGGTGTATCATAAGTGAGCAATATCTCACAATTCAACTTGTTATTTAAGAATTAAACTGGTTTGCATTAATTTTTTGGAAACTTTTTTTGTATTGTCATTTATCTTTCACGAATAGTTCTTATGTAGAAAATACTGATATAATGTATTTCGAGTGTTATTTCTTCAGTGTGTCAAGTTCCATCCAAATAGCAACTACATAGCAACTGGTTCAAGTGATAGAACAGTACGTCTCTGGAGTTTACAAGATGGGAAGAGCGTTAGGCTAATGCAGGGGCATAGAGGGACAATTCTGGCATTGGCATTCTCACCAAATGGACAGTATTTAGCATCAGCCGGTAATTGAATATGACAATCTAAGAATGGTTTTATTATCAAAGGGTTCATTATAAAGCAGTGATATTAAGTTTACATGATATATGTTCTATGAAAAGTAATTTATATTTTAAGTGGTTAATAGATTATCATTAAATATATTACTTTCAAATTCTTTTTTGGGGGGTGGGAAAACAATGTATTACAGATGAATTATTTCATAGGAAGAAGCAAATGTTTATCAGAAGACATGGTAGTTTCTTGCAATGTAATATGAGAAACATCTCTTCATGCAAGAAATAGATAACAGGCCACAGCCATAAGAGAAATTTATGTTTACTACTGATTTTTGCTTTTCAGGAGATGACAGAAGAATCCGTGTATGGGACTTGAACACAGGGACTTTGTTTAAAGAGCTTAGAGGTCATACAGAAACAGTGCATGCTTTGTCCTTTAACAAAGACAGTACACTACTGGCTTCAGGTTTGTCAACTTTAAGAGAAAACTGTATGTTTATTTGTTTAACTCATTGTGCATTAAATCTGGTTCTGACCAGTTGGATAAATGTTTGATAAAACACACAGTGATTAAATTGTTAAAAATGATTTCCCATTAAGATCTATTCTGAAAATTACACTCAAAGTTTTCATTAAATTATTCTAGTAATACATTTTAAGTCTCTATACTAATGATTATGATTTTTATCCTCTCTTGTTCGTTAAAATATGAATCTTTGAAATATAATAATCAGCATATGACTATGGTAGAATCTATATTTCTATCTATGTTATATTATTATTTAATGGGATAAAGAGCAGGAATAAAACCATTGTTACAATGATGAAGGGTTGCACAGGCAATTTCTCACGTGAATTTCACTTTAATCTCACATGAAATTCACTTCAAACGAGCTTAAACCTGAAACCCGCGTGAAAATTTTCATGTGAATTTCACATGAACTTATCAACAAAAAAATAAAGTGTTTTTCTAGATTTTAATTTTATTTGAAAATTCAAATGTTATTTAACATTTGAATTACTTCATTGAGAAAATTCATGTGAGTTTTACATGATTTTCACATGATTTTCACATGAGATTCTTGTGAAACTCATGTAAAATCAGTTCACATGAGTTTCATGTATAAGCTCGATTTTGAAGTTCATGTGAAATTTCCCTTTGTATTTCCCAATATATTTTCAGAATCAATACCCACTTTATATCCCTCTTCTCTACAAATATCATGTAGCAGGCTATTTTGGTTGGTGCAAAAATTCTGCTATTTGGAATTTGAAAAGACTACAGACAGTTTTAGTGTTTTTTGAATTTTGCAAATACAGCAATAAAATTTAAATTTGATAACCTGCATATTTTTTGAGTTTTGGGTTTCTTCTCAATGAGACATTTACTTTAATATTATAAAATTTTTCAAATTACCATGAAAGTTTACCAGCCAATTAACACCTATTGGTTATTTTGTTCAAATAAAGGAGTTGTATCCATATTCAGACTATCAAGAATGTAATCAATTCCATCAACATTTGTATATCTTTAGGTGGAATAGATTGCTGTATTAAGGCATGGGATGTCAGGAAAGGTGTCAACAATAACAACACTGTGTAAGTAAACAATTATCACCTCAGGTGAATATCTACAATGACCTCATTTGAAGGTGCAGTGTTTAAAACCTGTTAACTTAATATCATGAACATGTAAACATCACATATACAAATAAGAAGATGACAAATGATTGCCAATGAGACAACCATCAGTCAGAGACCAAAGTGGGAGGATGTAAACAACTTAAAGCATTGTTTGTCCTTTAACAATGAGCAAATCCCATACTGTATATTTAGCTATAAAAGGCTTTGCCATGACAAATTCAAAATAGAAAACCAACAGCGTGATTTATGCTGAATACAAACAAACAAACAAGGCAGAAAGCAACCAAGAACAACCACTCAATTACAGGCTGGTGATTTGGGATAGACACATAAAGATGGTGTTAAACATGTTTGTTCATGTTAAAACAGTATGACCTATATATTATGATAAAGTAAAAAAAGTAGTTCATAATAATATTTTAATGACTTCAGTTACTTTTCATAGTTACCGTATTGATTCTTGATCTACAGTAAATCAAATATGATAGAATCTTGGAACTTTGTTCTGGCTGCTAAGCCTTGTTTGACAACAAACAGAAAGACATTTTACTCCACAAAGAATGCTTATTTTGGTGCAAATTTGTTCCTTTTTTCAGTGTGGATGGACATACAAGTGCAGAATTGATAGGAAGTTACCAGACTAAATCTGCAACAGTCATATGGTTAAATTATACCAAGCACAATGTTCTACAGGCAGCAGGGGCCATATAATATCCATCAGATATCTGACATGACAGGTATGGTTAGGAGTCTACAGGAAGCAGAGGATGTATAACATCCATTAGATACATGACATGAAAGGTATGGCTAGGAGTCTACAGGTAGCAGGGACTGTATAACATTCATTAGATACCTGACATGACAGGTATAGCTAGGAGTCTACAGGTAGCAGGGGCTGTATAACATCCATTAAAAACCTGACATGACAGGTATGGCTAGGAGTCTACAGGAAGCAGGGACTGTATAAAAATATCCATTAAAAACCTGACATGACAGGTATAGCTAGGAGTCTTCAGGAAGCAGGGACTGTATAATATCCATTAAAAACCTGACATGACAGGTATAGCTAGGAGTCTTCAGGAAGCAGGGACTGTATAATATCCATTAAAAACCTGACATAACAGGTATAGCTAGGAGTCATTTACAAGGTGTAGGAATTCGTCTGGAATAAACAGAAACACAGGAAGCATATGGTGAATATCTATAATGCCAACCAAAGAAGGCATCAATGGAGGATCGAAATTGGATTATTATCTTACATATCTGAATTAATGTTTAAGATGATTTGATACACAGGAACTTGTCAAAGGGCAATTAAAGACAGCAAAATTATAAGTAAACTAAAAATAAGAAAAGATTTCATATTATGAAAACCATGGACCTTATAAAATGCCTACAGTTTGTCTAAATACAGCATTAAAGTGGTTGATATACAAAGGAGAAGGTTCAACAAGGCCCAAATTTCTCGTATGAATTTATATTTAGTCTATGCAGAATGTGCAATAGTGAACATACTTTTTTTATTTCAAATTTTAGTAACTGGAATAATAAACTATCTTTTAAAGGGAGATAACTCAATAGATATTAATTTATTTCTTCAATTCTGTGGAAAAAATTATGATGAGTTACAAGTCCAATTAATTTGATTAAGAACAGGTTAAATTTCAAAGATGCATGTTTAATCCATTTGATTTCCAACAGTTTTTGAGTGTTTCACATGCATATGTTTCATGAATTAATATGGTGTATCATGTTGTAATAATTTTATAAGATACCGATAGGTAAAAGTATGTTAGATTTTTACAGAATGTTTAAAAGTTAGTGTTTTATTATATATATAATCTTATCTTTATCTTTAATTTTTTCCTGTAAACTTTTTTATTCTAAAAGTACCAAATACATCGGATATAATACATGCTTCATACCCATGTTTGACATCAACTTACAATTTCTAAAAAAAAGACACCCCCCCCCCCTATAAATGTGGCATTGATTTTTGTAATGCTAAGGGATTGAGAAAAGAAATAACTCTTTTGATTGATTTAATATGTTGATGTTTTCAATGAATATTTATTTTACAGTTGATACACATTTTCTTTTTATCAGTATTTATTTAAACGTTGTATCCATATTTGTATGAGCATTTAGATATACATATAGATAATCATAAGGTCATTGATCTATATTTATATTGCAAGGTTAATGATTTCAGGCAGCTATGATGTTGTTATTTATATGTTATCAGTTGTTATTAAAATAAAATGTAAATAATTGAATAGTTTTACTTTTTTATACTATCCAGTTATTGTTTTGCATGCAACAAATGTTGAAGAATGTGAGAAATAGGACGCTAACTCTGCTAGAGCAGCACAAGCTCTGTCGTATAAAGCTTTGTATTCCAGAAGGTAAAGGTCATGGACAATCCATACCTGGGATACAGGAGGGTCTGGTTGGGGTTTACAGAATAGAGAATGATTGACCCCAAAAATGCAGAATAGAGATGGATGGTCCAAATAAAAAAAGAATAGTGAACAATGGGGTGCAAAAATATGAAGAATTGAAAATATTGGACAATTTTTAGTGGAGGGGGCATTAAGTTTTACCCTTATCCGTACGTACGTCCCAAGATTGGTTTCCGTTCTCTAACTATAGTTTGCCTCAACCAAATGTTATGAAACTTATATACATTGCTAATTTCCACAAAACACAGATCAAGTTTGAATTTTGGTGGCATCACTTTTACCGTTCTAGAGTTGTGCCCCTTTACAAATGGTAAAATTGCTGAAATATTTGTTTCTGTTCTCTAACTTTAGTTTGCCTCAACTAAATGTTATGAAACCTATGCACAATGCTAATTACCACAAAACACAGATCAAGTTCAAATTTTGGTGGCGTCACTTTTACTATTCTAGAGTTATGTCCCTTTACAAATGGAAAAATTGCTGAATTACATTTCTGTTCTCTAACTTAAATATGCCCCAACTAAATGTTATGAAACTTATAAACAATGCTTATTACCACAAAACTCAGATCAAATACAAATTTGGGAAGCGTCTCTTTTACCGTTCTTGGGTTATGTTCCTTTATAATGTTATATGCAAACGGGGACATCATCTGTGTCCCATGGACACATTCCCCATTAATTTTTTTAAAGAACAGAGAAAAATTGGCCTAAAAAATTGAAGAGTACATACATGAAGACCTTGGTCCATTTTTATACGACCGCAAAAAAATTTTTGTGGTCGTATATTGGTATGACGTTGGCGTCGTCGTCGTCATCGTCTGGCGTCCTCCGGCGTCGTCCGAAGACACATTGGTTTTCACACTCTAACTTTAGTTTAAGTGAATGGATCTCTATGAAATTTTACCACAAGGTTCAATACCACAAAAGGAAGGTTGGGATTGATTTTGGGGGTTATGCTACCAACAGTAAAGGAATTAGGGGCCGAAAAGGGGCCAAAAATAAGCATTTTTGTAACTTCCAGACATAACTTGTGTGTTAGTGTATGGATCTCTCTGACATTGTACCACAAGGTTCCATATCACAAAAGGAATGCTGGGATTGATTTTGGGGGTAATTGCCTTAAAATTTTAGGAATTAGGGGCAAAAAAAGGGGCAAAAAACAAGCATTTTTCTAGTTTCATGACAATAACTTGTGTGTAAGTGTATGGATCTTTCTGAAATTGTACTACAAGGTTCCATATCACAAAGGGAAAGCTGGAATTGAGTTTGGGGGTAATTGCCGAAACGTTTAGGAATTGGGGGCCAAAAAACACATTTTTCTAGTTTCCAGACAATAACTTGTGTTCAAGTGTATGGATCTCTCTGAAATTGTACTGCAAGGTACCATACCACAAAGGGAAGGCTGGGATTGATGATGGGGGTAATTGCCTCAATATTTTAGGAATTAGGGGCAAAAAAGGGGCAAAAAACAAGCATTTTTCTAGTTTCAGGACAATAACTTGTGTGTAAGTGTATGGATCTTTCTGAAATTGTACTACAAGGTTCCATATCACAAAGGGAAAGCTGGGTTTGAGTTTGGGGGTAATTGCCCTAAACGTTTAGGAATTTGGGGCCAAAAAGGGGCCAAAAAACACATTTTTCTAGTTTCCAGACAATAACTTGTGTTCAAGTGTATGGATCTCTGTGAAATTGTACTGCAAGGTACCATACCACAAAGGGAAGGCTGGGATTGAGTTTGGGGGTAATGAATCATAAGGGGGTTCAAAAAATTTAGGGGGGGGGGGTTTCCTTTTTTTTTCTTTTTTTCCTTTTTTTTTCTTTTAAAATTTTCCATTTTAAGTTGGTTATTTCTGATTTATATTTTAAAGCAAATAATAATGATATGGTAGGAGATACACACCAAACAGGATGTGTAAATTATTATATAATAAGTATTGTGCAATAGCAAGAAATTTTCAATTGCACAGTATTGCACAATAGCAAGAAATCTTCAATTGCACAGTATTGCGCAATAGCAAGAAATTTTCAATTGCACAGTATTGCGCAATAGCAAGAAATATCCAATAGCACAATATTGCGCAATAGCAAGAAATTGTCAATTGTACAGTATTGCGCAATAGCAAGAAATATTTAATTGCACAGTATTGTGCAAAAGAAGATACTTCGTATAAATTGCTTATTTCTTGACCAATTTCAATGGGGTTTTATTCTTGAATTCTTGGGGTTCTTTAATATGCTGAATCTAACCGTGTATTTAGTTTTTGGAATTTGGGCCCGTTTTTAAATTGGTCCACATTGAGGTCCAAAGGGTCCAAAATTAAACTTTGTTTGATTTCATCAAAAATTGAATTATTGGGGTTCTTTGATATGCCGAATCTAACCGTGTATTTAGATTCTTAATTTTTGGTTCTGTTTTCAAATTGGTCTACATTAAGGTCCAAAGGGTCCAAAATTAAACTTAGTTTGATTTTAACAAAAATTGAATTCTTAGGGTTCTTTGATATGCTGAATCTAAACATGTATTTAGATTTTTGATTATGGGCCCAGTTTTCAAGTTGGTCCAAATGGGGGTCCAAAATTAAACTTTGTTTGATTTCAACAAAAATTGAATATATGGGGTTCTTTGATATGCTGAATCTAACCATGTATTTAGAGTTTTGATTTATGGGCCCCGTTATCAACTTTGTCCACATTGAGGTCAAAAGGGTCCAAAATTAAACTTTGTTTGATTTCATCAAAAATTGAATTCTTGGGGTTCTTTGATATGCTGAATCTAACCATGTATTTAGATTTTGGATATTGGACCATAATAGGTGAATGTCCAATTTAAAATCTTTAAGTTCTTAGACCACATTTTTTTCTGTGTCAGAAACCTATGCTGTGTCAAATATTTAATCACAATCCAAATGCAAAGCTGTATCAAGCTTGAATGTTGTGTCCATACTTGCCCTAACTGTTCAGGGTTCGACCTCTGCGGTCGTATCAAGCTGCGCCCTGCGGAGCATTTTATTATGGTTTAATGTGTGCTCTAAAATGTTTTTTTCAATTATGGAACAACAATAGTAGTTATAGGAAAAATTGCAAGGTATACATGACTGTCAGAAGGGTTTTACTGTATTTGGTATGTTGAATGATTGTTAGGTGTACATGCCCATATGACAAGGTCAATCTGAGCTTAACTCATATTCATGGTTTAGCTTTTAAGTTTTCTTGATCAGGTCTGGTTCTCAGATACAATAAGTAAAAGGTAACTATGTTTGGTGTGTAGAATGATTGTATGGTGTACATGTCAGTCTGACAGGGTTTATCTGACCTTGACCTCATTTCTTGGATCACTGATAATGTT